GCCTTTTGAATAAGAAAAGCAAAATCTTTTACAAATTCAATAATTCTTCTTCATCCCTTGAAAGACAAAAAAGAGCATATGAATTAGCGGCATTCTATATCTGATAGCCGGTATTATCTTTTTATTGTGAATTCTGTTGAAAGATCTCCGTTTTTTTGCTTTTTTGTCTTATTTTTTAATGATTTCTCCAGAATTCTTTCTTTTTTCTCAATTTCTTCTCTTTTTTCTTTCTTTCATTTTTACATCTTGCCCAAGTTGAATTTACTTCTATGGTTTATTCATTAGAATTCGATTGTTAATCCGTTAGCACATTTTTCTGCTTTATTTCTTTTCTTTTCTTTTTGTTGTTGTGGTTGTTGTTAAGACATACTTACCCGTATAGTTCGATTTGGTAACTCAACTGTTTTGTTGAAAAACAAAAAAAAGAAAAGAAAAGAGGGTTGAATAATTTACGACTAATATGAATCTGTCGACAAGTAATGAATCAGTGATTTATTCATGTACTAAAAGATTTTAGATGATCATAAGATTGAATGAATGATCTTAATGGATTGATTATTATAGAAATAGATTTTTCTGATGGAGGTTTGTTCTCTGTGATTGAACTGTACTACTCAGGTTAGGCCTGCATGTTGTCTATCTCTCCTGTTAAACGGGATTGAGCTACACTGTATGGGTTGTCAAGTGAAAGACTAGGTGGTGTCTAGTTCTCCTGAAAACCAATGTAACATTACCCTGGCCCACAAGAGTATATTATATATAAATTTGATCTCTGATCATCAAATGTTCATTAGTTCTGTTTAATTAATTAAACCGATTTCAATAAGTCTACTTAATTACTAAATTTCTGATATTGACTGTGTTGTTTGAGACCATAGGATCACCATTATTATGTCATCTAATTCATAGAAACTAAGACAAGCACAATCTCCTTTCTAAACTAATGATTCTTCTTTATCATTTTTACATGAACTGTTATAGATAAGCACCCGTTACAGGGTTGACGGGCATTAACGACGAGTCCCATACTAGAACGAAACAGTCACCCAATTCTTACAGATTTTTAGTGCTGATCTAACATCGATCGGTTCATAAAGCTCAACAACCTTTACAACTCTATACTGATAATCATCGATTGTAATCAGTTTTTGTTTTCAATGAATATAAGAATTTGAAAACAATATTTGACATAAGATGGTGGAAAAGATTTATAGCTCAGGTGGATGATTTTGATAGACTTTTGTTCTCTGGGCTGAATGGTTTAGTCGAGGAGCTTTTGTGGTTATTCTGAACGATATCATCAGCATTCACTTCAGGTAGTTTGTACTGATGATATCGGTTCAGAATAATAATAAAATCTTCATGAACAAACCATCCAGCACAGAGAGCTAAAGTCCTGGTTGAATATCTGTGTTAACTGTACCTGTCATCTAGAGCTTTTACAAGTTATCTTCTTTGTTTGTTTTAATACCTCATTATGTTCATGAGTTGCATAACCTATTCAGATACGTTTATGAAACGTTCACGATCTTTCACTGTACAAGATATAAAAGAGCACAATCAGAGACATCGTGGTTACTGGCAATGTACATTCACAAGCATGAACATCATTCAGATGTCAATTCCTGTACTGTTAACATGTAACTGGCGGTCACTCAATATGTTATCGTCAGAATTGATCAAAATATAATATGGAATACAGCCATTAATAATAATGATAATCCACTTGAGCTACACATTTTCTCCACTATTTCAATTGATTATTCTGACTGTTTACAATATTTCAAGTGTAAATGGGATGTTGAGGTTTTCATAATCCTATCGACCACCATTATTAGCTGCATACAGCTTGAAATCTTGAAACCTTGAAATTTCTAACTTCGATCATAATATACCTCCCATTGATCACAATATGACTTGATCAGAAGAATTCCATTGGTCGTAAGGACTACAATATGACACTATACAACATTAAACGATCAGTTAATATCTGATAATATATTTTTCAAATTAAATAAAATTCCCTATCACTAAAAACTAATAATCCTGTAATTCTGGGGTTATTGTACAGGCAAACAGTTAAAATCCAGGTTTAAATGGTGGTCTAAAGTTGATCAGTTCATGATTTCGGTGGTATTCAGCAGTCTTTACAATCCTGATACTGTAAAACATCATGTACTCACTAGTGATTAGCCTCGAGAGAAAATTTCAAGACTTCTAGTGAGAGGTTGGAACCAGTGCAGTTCAGTCGTGTCAGGTGTGAGGCATCTACTCACTAAAGGTTATAGAAGACGTTCGCGCTTCGTTGTGGACTGATTGAAGGTGTTCATTAAGGTCGTTGGATTGTGAGTTAGTGGTCTTGATGTTAGGCATGCTCTTTCGAGACTGAAGATTATGGGCTCGATTCTGGCGTTTGGAATGGTGGATGTGCACTGCTGAGGAGTTTCATACTAGGTTGAAATGACCGTCCAGTGATTGGAGGTGTTCAATTTTGACCTAAAATCGACCGGTTTATGACTTCAACGAAGTAAGAGCTTTTTCAGGCTTTAATATATACTAATGCTGATATACAGGTATACCTTGCTAACGAGTGCCAACTAGCACAAAACCTAAGTTCAAGGTTTCCTGTTGACTACCTCTAACCACCACCTTAGGTTAAAACCTTTCCATTGTTTACTTTTACATGTGAATTCATTACATGATTAGCTGTTTTGATCCAGTGTGAAATTCATTACTTGGACTCACTTATCACTCTACTAGGGTTTGGACTGATGATTTTTATACTAAAAATAACTGAGTTGACTTCCGATTTTGTTAATGGATAATTTCTTAGTTATTACCGATCGATAGTAAATGCTAATTTCAAGTTAAGCTAATGTTCACAAACGTTTTGTTCGATTCTATAGATTATGAGTTTGATCTTTAGTTAAGTTGACAAGATCCAAGGTACACTGAAGTACGTATCTACTACTTTTTAATTTACATCGGCTAATTCAATTAAACAAACAAAATTAACTTTAAAACATTATAAATAATAGATTATATCAAGTATTGAATTAGTTGATGTTAGATGTTGACACCGTTGGATGCCAGATCATTAGTCTAGAGGCTAAGCGTTCACGCGCCAGACTTAAGACCACGTGTTCGAATCCTGCTAGCGGGATCGTGGATAAACATTGCTGAGGAGTTCCAAATGGGATGAAACGGCTGTTCAATGCTTCCAGGTTTTTATTGGTCGTCTAACATCAGTCACTTGATGATCTCAACCAAAAATTTAATTTATTGTCAAGAAGATAAGTTTCTTCATGAAACATCTTCATTAATTTTATTGGCAGTTAGTGATATTCAATGATATAGCGAAGCATGATTTCAGTTCCATGATGATTATCATTGATTGCTTGTTGGTTTATCTATTCGTATTTCGTCTTCTCTACTTTGATCAAGCAGGCATTCATGTTTCACTTCTCTACTTCATTTGAGACCACAATGTGTTTGGTAAGTAAAAGATATGGTTGGACGGCTTCAGAAGATAACAATGTTTGTACAGGAACACACTATTCTCGATGAACAGTCTTTACGTGGCTTGAACACATCATGTACTTCTAATGTCCTCCTAAATCTAATCGGGTTAGGGACTGTCACTTGACGATTCAGTCAAGATTACTTAGTTGAATATTGCATATAATCATCGCATCTACTTCAATTCTACTCATCTAATATGCGTTGTCTCACAAGAAATATTCTTTTAAAAAAACACTGAAATAGTAATGCAAAGCATCGGAATATTTCTGATGACCTCAGTTGTTTGTAGAAATTTCAGTGATTATACTTTCTCTTCATCTATCACCTCATTATATTTAATTATTCAAATAATATGGTATTGTCTATTGTGTCGTGGGCGTGATATGAAACTTTGTTAGAATAATGAATACCGCTTTCTAATTATGTGTTTATGTGACTGACAGTCATCTACTCACACAGAACAGAGATGAAAGGAAGTCTCATTTTACAAAACATTCCTGCTTTTGTGAAAAGCGAGTAAATTGAAAACAAATATTTTGGCAGTCAATTCATAGTTAGTCTTGCTTCAGCTATGAATAAACACTGTAACCATTTACTATCTAAATTGATGTGATTTGAATGGTCGTTTTCTCTTAGAATCATCAATATATGGAACCATATTCGCAGTATGGTGTTGTTAAGCTATCGATTGAAATCATGGGTCGATGAATATTAGTCTTTCATTGGAAACGTAGAGCAGTGGACCATTATCAGACATACATCGATTCTGATATCTTTGAAAGACTTATCAATCCCCACAAACCTACCTTGGTGATTATCATGTGCTCACTGTTGACTAGCTCCTTCTGGGGACTCTCGGAGTTCTTGTGAGCAACTGTGACCAGTCGAGCTACTTCTTTCAGGCAGACACAGGTATCTATCTCAGACATTGGTGGGTGGTTGCACATCCTCGTGGATTTGTTGAAATTTGACACAGACACTATAGAATGCCAAATAGGTGGTCTAGAGGTTAAGCATTGACGCGCCAGGCCAAAGATCCTGTGTTTGTGCCACTTTTATCTTAACCAATCAAGTCAAATTATTGCGTCATTGACAGACCATTAACAGATTATTACACGTAACAAAGTGTTTGCTTGTGAACACATGAGCATACATTTTGAACTACAAATAAACCAATCACTTATTTTAAAGTATTGCCAATCATATCCAAAAGCATTTTCATCAACGGAGGCCAGAAATTTCAACCAATGGTGAATAAATATCTGCCTATGTCCTCGATAGCTACAAAGATATTGGATAATAATGGATTCATCTACCGAAATGATTGGTTAACAGTGAAATAATGATTTTATGAAATTAGATCTTTGCGATGGTTACTTTGAATCATAGAAAGTCAGAAAGAAACAAACATACACCTGAAAAATCTATATAAACCTAACAAGTTCTAGTAAGATCGTTATACTATTTCGAACGGAAAGATGAGGTGAGTGTTGACTGAACACACGAAGTTATTGTATGTACTATATGAATTTCGGTCTGATTCAACTCAACGAGATAAAATTGTTTTCTTCATATCAACCATTTTAGATATACTTCTCTATCTGGTCTGTTGATACCGGTTTATTTGGTCGTCATCGTGCTTTCCAAATTCTTCGACTGTCAGGATATCTGCAAAAACCCTGAATTAGCGACATATGAAAATGTGATTTCAGAAAACGGTTCATATCAATATGTAAGTATACAGTCAGATCCTAATGCACATACACAGTCTCATCATTATTACTACTTACGAACAATACGTCACAATCAGAAGTATCAAGTTGTTAGTGACAGTTTTAAAAAGTTTAGTACTGATCAGGTGAGTTGACTACATTTTGTAATGGAACTACTAATTCTTATGTTTGCATCTTTTAAGGATGTTGAACCGAAATTTTCGTTTAAAACTTTACGGTATTAACGTCACTGAATTTAAGATTTATCGTCATGGTAAGATAATTTTCTTCATTCACTTAAAATTGTTATTGAGTTTTGTTAATCACAATTCATTCCATGAATCAAGTTTGCTAGAATTTCTTCAATGAATCAGTTTTATGCTTTTTTCTGACATTCAAAACTTTTGATAGATTCCTTTTCTTCTTGTTGAACTGATCGAACGTTCGATGTCTTACAGCGAACTGATTACAGTTCATGAAATTCATTTTAGTCTCCAGTTCATTTCAAACTATTTCATTCATCCATTATAGAATTTCAATCAAATTGTATGTTTTCATTAAATATAGGCGAAATAGAAATATTCGGTGAACAAAAAATCGGAATGATACATAATTCTGTTAGGGGCGATTCTTTGCCTGAATATGAGATGGTAGATAACAGTGAGTTTTTCTGTTATCCCATAATGTTTTCTTTTGTTCGTTCTCATACACTTGTTGTGCATACATGGTTCAGTGTTTAGCTTGATTATTACACGAAACCTGACCATTTCACAGTGATTATATGGTTTCTGTGATTTGGTACCAGAACATGTGTTCACAGCAGGTATTCATTACTCTCAAGGTAAAGTATCAAATAAACACAAGGATTCACTACAAAATAAACACAAATCGATTCAGTAGAAATTATGAACTAAGCGGTGTGGTTGCTGAGTTATCCAGTCTATTTAAACAACAATGCAAAAGATGTCTCACCGACGCGATACGTCTTTCTAGATTAAATGAATCAAATTGATCACATGTGCAACACTAAGCAATGTTGTTCAACAGGTCAGTTTGAGTCATTAACTTTATGAACTGTCAAATTATACTTGACGTCTTCCAACTCTTTTCTGACACTTAGTTGATTCATGAAAGTTAAATATCTTTTAGTCGCTATCTGTGGACCATTGGATGTTTAACACTTTTTAGATTATCCTGTTTATAAACTAATGACATTAAAACCCACGCCCTTCCTTACACAATCAATCAACGAATGATGATTGTTCATTTAAATGTACCATTTCACTTAAATCTTGAAAGGAAGGAAGGAAGGAAGGAAGGAAGGAAGGAAGAAAGGTGATAACTCGTCTGCCAATACATTTTTTGTTAGAATGTATATTTATCAAAAGAGGTAGATATTCATTATGCAGATATACAAATATCTTTTCGATTTTCATTTCTTTCAGATGATTTCATTGCTGTCAAATGGTATTTTCGGATGCTTCGTGACGGTACATATAAGTGAACATTGAATGATCATTTGATACCATATGAAATCTTAACACTTAAAACTACTCATCGTGTTTGCTCACACCTGCTTGTTCAGTTTGTGTAATTCAATTTTTCCCAATGACTGACAGAAGTAGGGATACATAACGCTTCTGCGAAATGAGGGTGAACTTGTACGTGCAATCCATTGATCAATTAATCGCAATGATTAAGACTTGAAGAACAGTTAACATAGACTGAAAGAGACTAGACTTGACGAGTAATAAATGGATGAATGAAGTTACAATGCCATCTCACATGAGGAAACACTGGTGCACAGATTCATCATCGTTGATTGGCTTCAATGGAACTTGATGTGAAGTCTGTTTATTGTAACAAATAAATTGTGTTATATGTTCTTCCCAAAGCCATTTTCTGCACGGACCACATTCGTCGACACAGTCATTCCTAAATATTGCGCGATAAAATCAGTAAATCCTTAGGACAATATGTCTGAAACTATTCACTTCACATCCTCAACAAATAAATCTGTGTTCTTTGTAAACGCCATGGTCGGAGTCAGTCGACTGATCGATTTGCCAGTGTGGTTAATGAGTAATTAAATTCTCAAGTTCCATTTGTGAACAAACACTCAACAACACAAGTCATGTGTTCTTAGGGTCGATTGATTTGGCAGTAATGATAGAAAATATTGTGCATGATTGTATACCTTTCGGGTTCCGAAAACTAAACAGCTGACATTCATTCTGAATAAATTGTGTTCGTATGTTTTGCATGAGGTCCACTTGATATTCTTCATAACGAATTCATCGAAGGAAAACATTTGAGATAACACGGTATATGTTTGGTTAAATTGGATATTTTTTGTAAGTAGGCATATACACTGTCACACCTAACAGTAACAAGCTCATCATCATTCCCTAAGTATTCTAAATATCAATAGTCTTTTGTTTGCAGGTATGATAGCAAAGATAACTAGTGTGATACATTCCAATGGGAAGATATCCCTCTATTATGAGAACGTAAGTTGTACAATTGAATGGAAATAAAATTTTGTTTGAAGTACTATAGCTTGATCCACTCTTTCTTGCGTATCAATAATGTCGAATGAATCAAGATACATTGAATACGACAGAAAGAGCTCTACTTTTGTAATGTGCAAACGGACTATGTGACACTATTATTAATCATTTAATGACACACACTTTGATGTACCACTTGCTAAAAACAGAGAATAATTAGAAGTGAAGAGTCATCAAAAGATAAGGACAAACAGTGTACTGTAGAGTACAGCACGGAAACAGTCATATTATGACAAGATTTATTTAGTCTTCTGGAGATAAGCTGTTCGGAAAGTACATTGCAGAATATTCTGAGGGATTTAGTGTTTAAACTGTTGATCGTTTCACAGTGTGTATATTTTTGAATGCCAGTGTTTGATACTTCCAGTACTTCTTTTCAGATCCCCACGGGACAAACTGAAGGTCCAGTGACCTCTATAATTGAAGGTGTAATTCAGTGTGAAGGTAACAATTATTGCTGGTATTTTGATGTAGATTAAACCCGTCAACAGTTTTCTGTTAACGTAATATTACATTCCATTTGTACACGGTTATCTGCATGTCGATATAGTAACCTGCTGTTTTCGCTCACAGTGATCATACATAACTGTATTACAGTCTACAATGATTAGTTTATTTGAATGTAAGACAAATCGATCGAAGTGCAATTGAAGTGTTGAGGATAATCGTGAGGGATAAAGTCGAAATACTTTTCGTAAAATCACTGTCCAAAAATTACTGTGTACTGGATATTCAACGTCAATTATATGTTTACAATTCTTGAATGGAATTTCTGTAGTTACACCTGATAAAGAATCTTAGTGAGACCCAATAATGAAATTGTCTAGTGTCCTTGGAACAATGGAACACTGTATTGAAATCAAAGTACATGTGTTTTTCATTCAACAACGGTCATCCTTATCACTGTAACAAATTAGATTTGAGTTGTTGTGATGAACTTGTAATGGTTCTGTTTCAGTTTTTCGTGATAAATTACACAGACAATGAATTTCGTGATCCACATTTTCTGGCAGTTCCTTAACCCAATATTCCGTGTGATAGAACCGTGATGTGTGAATATCATTACAGTCAAATTGTGGATAGGTATTGGAGAATGCTTACACATACATTTAACGACGGACTGATCCAGACAGGGATATATGAACGACAATATTTGACAGAAAATATATCTACTGATTTATTTAATTGATCACTCACTCGCTCATTCACTCACAGAACAAAAAGTCTCACTTGTAGTCCTCAGTCATATCCCTACTCAAACAGAAACAAAAGAGTGGTGCTTGTAAGTGATAGTTGTTTTATACAATGCTCAATCTTTATTCCACACTGAAGTGATCATGTGTTGTCTTAAGATCAAGCTGAGTTTCAAGATAAGCGTTTAGTGAAAGCGATTCGGTGGGATACAATATTTTGTCATTAAATGTGAGACAATGCACTAAATATTTGGTCAAACGGTATACATTGATTGGTTGAAATATGTTACTTAGTCTTTAACATTAAATCTCAATGTTGACTATGTGTAATTTGAAATGTCGAAAGAATTGTACCGAGTTGAATATGTTTCTTGAAGATGTTGCACTGATAATGTTTTAAAATGAATCAGAAATTCAATATTATCATTGTTCATTTACTAGTTGAACACTGGCCGCTTTCCATATCAGTAATGATGTAGAGCATGTTTTGTGAGGATTTCGTATGAAAAACACTCTATCTGTAATCAGAAATTTTTAAGTCTTAATTTTACGGTACATGAAATGATGAAACGAATTGTTATTTAATTAACGAGATATCAAAATTTCAAGTGTTTTTTAAACTGTATTTCAGATGTGAGAGAACCTGAAATAACAACTCCTGCAGAATTGATGACAAGTGACACGTCAGTGAAGTCTGAACCTATCGAGAGTATGTTAAACCTTATTTAATCAGCATTGAATATTTCCTCACTTGAATATATCACTTCTGTTTCATCATATTATAAATTCCAAGTGTAATTTTATTTAGCCATTTCACGATATCCAGTATTGTTTCTCTGTTGACGCTTCCCTTGCTATTAATAATTACACGTCGATTTGCTGTTGGATATTCCAAATGATTAAGGACTCAACTTGAACTACTACAGAAGTCTTCACTTTCACCAAATGTACACAGAAATCACTCCACAAAACGATGGATGAGATGATTTAATCCTCGAAAACGTTTATCGTCTGTTGGCAGATTTTGTATTATCGAGGAGGTGTTCGTTAGTTTTTTATTCAGTATATACGATATCTAATTTATCTGGGGTATTGAAATCACTGAAACACTACATGAGATCGTGATTATCTTGAAGGTATTCGTTTCATTTCTAAAATCTCTGCTTTGTCATACTTGTTTGATAAATCGAAGGTGTAGACAAGTCATGCGTTCAAATTGCAATTTATCATAGTCGATATATATGTACAGTAGCAAAATTACTGACGATTTACACAATATAAGATTGTTCCCTTTCTCATGAATATGTAAATTGAGTGTCTACAGACACTTTTCAGTTCACCATGTGTTAGACTATTGAAATAACATTTCGAGTACTGGGAGAATCGCTCGATACATTAGTGTTCGGATCGCCTTCAGTATTTGTCGAACAAAATATTATTTTCACTAATTCACTGAGTCTGATGTGCTAACTGACGTTAAACAGACTAGAACGTGGCCACATATTTTGAAACCTTCTATCACATAATGGGTTAATGAAAATATTTTCGTGGAAGCCACAATGATGATTTGAATAACAGAGTCACTCTTCCTTCGTTTTTCCATTGAATCAACAACATTGAAAATCAGTTTTCGGCCTCAGAACAGCTGACCTTCATGCACTGATTTCGAAATAGTCAGTGCCAGTGAGCTCACGAATTGATTGTGCACTTCACACATGCAGAAACGGTATACAAGATATAGATTGATGATAAAACTGATATCCGTTACACGTTTTGTTATTCACGTATCTTTTGTTTGATAACTTGAAATGCCGTCTCCCTAATTTTTTTCACAGTGAGTTGTTCAAAACACGATTCCATTGAAAAATGCCAAAATGCGACAACATCAAGTGTGAAATGTATCTGGTATGAAAAGGCTAATATGTGCATTAACAGCGATGATAATGATGTTAAAGTAAGTAATTGTTAAGATTCATAGATTGTTTACAACATTGCTACATTCCATATTGTACATCCGATTACTCGGAAGAAAATTTCATTACAACGAATACGTTTTGATTTCATGGTAACAACAAATGATGAACAGAGACGACGTTTAACACAAATGCATTGAGTCATATTAATTTTTGAGCTCACTGAGCTTGTAGTGACTTCAGAAATCCAATATGAAAGCGTATGTCAATGTGAATTGCCATGAATCACCGATGAAATTGGTTTGAGTGATGAAGCGTATTCCGTTGGAAATTGTATATTATGTGTGGACAAATAGAGAAAGTTTGTAGACTCCAGTTGTTAAAGCGCAGAACAAAGAAATTACTGAAATTCACACTGAAGAAAAATTTCGGAAAAATACTGCAAAAAACTGAACCTTGTTCGGTGAATATTTAATATTTAGTATTAATGCTGCTGTTTCGTTTCTCTTTCAGAACACCACTTCAGAAATAACTGTACACAATAAACATAATAACACACCTCGTTACTTGTATATCGTGATACCAGTAGTCGTCGTCGTCGCTTTCTGTGTCATATGCATCGGTTGTGCTATTTGGATGTATAAGAGAAAGAAGAGTAATCCATGATTTACAGAATCGTCTTATAGTTTGTTTTTATTATTTTGATCGAGTTGTTTTATTCTATATTTCATCCGGAAACTTCTTCACATTTTGTTAACCGTTTCAATTATTTGAACAATTTCTATACCATTTTCTGTTTGTCAACGTATCGACTGAAGTAATTCAATTGATTAAATAACTGCAATATTGACGTGAACTGTTTTCTTTCAGTTAATAAAAGCTGATTTATATTAGAAGAGTTTTACAGTATTCATTTTAGAAATGAGCAGTATTCTGTACATGTGATTATGTGATCATTGCAATCAATAATGAATCCGTTGTGAATGTTCAGTTTGATGTAGTCTCACCTCGGGAAAATATTATTTGAAATTTACAACGGTCATTGTTATAAATTGATCAGTCAAAATACCATACTAGTTGAGCGTATACTCAAGTAAGACTGAAGAACAGTGTGGATTGAATAAAGTAGTAACAGTCCGACCGTAGCATTGCTAAGATGACAGATTTGAAAAAGAAGAACACCACGGTGTTTCTACCAGTTGATTATCACTTCATAATACACTATTTATTTAATAATTATTCGCACTCACACGTAATTATGAGAAATGATATTGCAAATATTCATTTGTATTGTTTGGTTGATTCTTCCCGTTGATGTTTAGGACTGCAATCGATCAGTCGTTTCATAATATTTGTTCATCGGTTGGGAGTGACCTCAATCTTACCATTACGTTGCGTGTAATGTAAACGGAGATGGATGATGGCTAGCAGTGGAATGCAAGACACGCGTCCCATTGTTATATTTGGGACTCATCAGCTGGATGTGCCTGCATCACACAATTGATGTTCGTTCCCGTACTTGAACTCAATACCGTTCACTGCAAACATCGTCGCGTCATCTACTTAGCGTCTAAGTTTAGATACACACTGGTTTTTACAAACAAGTCGTTCAATCACTTAGGACTGCATCTCAAAGACCATAAGGAATTATTCGTGTTTTAAGAAGGACTGGATCACCCTCTATCGCACTGAGCACACACAGCTATCAAATATTTAAGTAAAGCATCAGAATTTTCTTTATAAACTAGTAAAGACAGCTCCACTTTAACCTTTTCAAATTTTTTAAAACCCAGTATTGACAGTCTTGTATCGTTAAAATCATATCTTATTAGCAGTTCACAGCATCCTCGTGTGGACAGTCTATGTACAGCAATCCCCTATATTGAGACTTTAGTGGGTCGCACCAAAACGTTAGGATCTAACAATTTCACGTTCTTGAATGAAACAATGTTCTCTATACTGCCTGTGTCCATAATAAAGACATGCAATGAACCATGAGGTAACATATAAACGCTTTTGAATATAAGCATTATCGTTCAAATTGGTAGATAACGATAAAGCATCATTGGTAACAGCCGAATTAATGGGACAAAAATTACAAGGTTTAGTTCTGTTTTTGACGATGTCCATAGCAGATATTTCAGGTAAGGCTCACGTTTTGATGGCCAGATATACATTCATATATATTGCACAGTGAAAAATTGTGAAAGATATCATAGGTTGAAAAGCCATCTTTCAAAATTGACTCGATAGCCAGTGTCATCTGATGTTTTAGAATGAATTCATCCAGATTATTGTGGTCCATTTCTCGGTAAACACTACACACTTGCGATCACTGATTCTCTGAGGTGCATGAAGCTTTCTCGCAATTGATGATTTATTTTGCAAGTTAATATTCTTCGCCTAATTTGAAATCCAAATACATTACATTTAGATTTGCTTAATATGCCCTCCTTGATTTAGTAGTGGACTATATGTAACCACAAAAGTGTTACTAGTCAGTATTCCGAATTCCGTTATTTGTGATCATCACACACAAGCACTCACTGCGTATTTGCTCAGAATATTAGAGAACTGGGTGGTATCAACATATAGGTGGCTGATATACTTGTTTATGGAATAATGCACAGTTCTTATCAATCATTAGTGTTCTCTAATTGTCAAATACACTTCTAATTCTGTTGATCTGTGATGCAGTTTATCTTATCTTATCCAACCAATTATCAAAATTATATTAAAATCTTTTTCGCTTTCAATTTAAGGCGTGAACAATAAAGACTGTCATTAATAAATGTGAATTTAAGGAATAGGCATAAAAGAAATGACTAATTGCAGAACGTAGTAATTATGTGAAGTTTTATCATACCACGTGTAAACAAATCTTTGCGGTTCGTTGTGACCGATCACTTTTAGACAAATTCAAGTCCATGCACGACACCTTATAAAAGCACTTTATACAATAAGAATCCTGAATTAAATAAGATGAAAGTACACCGGGAAGTATTTAGTACCGAAACCAGTGTTAAAATTGTTACTAGAGATTTACCAAACGAAAATAGGCTCTCCTACATTAGATCTGACCCATCTTATCATCGAGAAGTATTCGGTTTATAGGAATGCTTTTATGTTATAACAACTTGCTATTGGATTCTAACATTAACATTTGGACGTGATAACTTTATTGCCATTTTTGAGTTAATCTATTTTTTCGTCCACCACAAGTGTAATCAATTTCATAGAATATCAAATATGAGAAAAAACGTTCTGTTATCTGAATGTCATGTGTAAAATACTAACAAAAAAGAACTTAACATTAATATAAGAAATAAATGCTTATATATATATTCATTCAATCACACGGTATGGTTCAACCTTGCAGAAGTGGTTATTCTGTATAACTCGTCTTTAATCATAGTGATTATATTATTCTATATTTAGCCTAAATGTGTTCTTTACAAGCGCCAAACGTAAGATCGCGCATTGTTACTATACGGCCAGCCAGAGTAGACAATGATGTGACTTCCATGTAAGATCATATAGATTAGGCAGTCACATCATGACATATCCACAATTTTAGGATGCGGTCTATTATTGTAATGGTACCAATAAAAAATTAGATCATAATTCCACACAATGTGTAACTTAACTGATCAAACCACACGTCACTGTCACATTACACGTTCAGCATAACCCAAATGTGACTGATAGACTAGACTGAACACAAGAAATCAATCCATTTCACGGTTGAACATACAATTATCTAATACGTCATATGTAAGTGGTTATAACATTTTTCTCCACATTTTCAATTATGTACAACAACGACTATTAGGGTATACATCGTTTACTGCCTAACAACATTGAGCGAATATTTATCCAACATATGAGTCTAATTGATATAAACATTCCAATCCCTCAACGGAAATCCTTTGTTCTTCTTACGTTGTGTGGTAGGTTTTACGAATTAAACGTAGACCTCATGCAGACAAAATAGGATAATCAGTAGAATAAAAGATAAAACGGTAACGAACTGAAATACAAAAACAAAAATGAAATAACGATGAGTTTTCTGAGTGACAACCTAAGGAAGATGGGCAAATTGTGTATTTAGTGTATTGTTTACAAATGATGAAATGTTTTGCTCTAACAACCTTTTCGTTCATAAAGGTCTTATATTGGTAGTTTTAATAGTAGTAGAAGCTCCAGTAGTGGTTTAATTGGTGCAAGTATTGTAATACATAGTAATATCATTAGTTTTGTTAGTGATTTTAGTGATATGGGTATTAGAATAATTAGTAATAGTAGTAATATTACTGGTAACGTCAGTAGTATTTATTAATAGTCGTAGTACTAGTGTTAGTTGTTGTAAAAGTATTAGCATCGTTACTTTTACTTATTGCAGTTGTTTTACCAGTAATGATATCACCAATTTTAGTAGTGTCAGTACAAGTAGTGGTTGTAGTAACAGTATAAGTGGGACTATTGGTTTTGGTAGTTTTACGATTGTTATAAGCAGTAGCATCATGATGTGTGCTGCTGATGTCGACAGATATAAGTTTTATGTATCACCAATCGAAAGTGAAATGCCTGTAGTCTGAAGGTTGGAGTCATTGAATAGAAGAGAACGAGAACAGTGATTGATTGTTGTGGAGAAAAAGAACTATAAATTCTGAGACAATTGATTTACATTTTGCAAATGAAGAAGTTACTGTATGGTTCTAAGAATTTACCAAGAAATTATGTAATGTTGTATCAAAATACATTTGGTTGTCCCCACCTGCGTTCTCGTTCACTACAGTCGTAGTAATGGTCCAAATGTTAGCAATATGGAAAGGGTCTATATACGTTGAGTGTTATTAAAAGGTATCTGCATAACAGATATACATAGGCTTCATAGGCTACTTGCACTTTGTGATGTTTTGGCGATCCTAACTTGGTTTACGACTGGTCTCCAGGAGTTCTGTCTACACCGTGCTTTTGATATTCGTAAACTCTACTCACAATCAAAGGCCGGTGATAACTTTGAAGTCGCGTTCCACTTCCTACTATTTATAAGGAAACAGGAAACAAATCGTGCAGTATACTGAGTCTAGCTGCTCACAAACGGT